CAAGGAGATAGATGAAGCCGTCTCCCTTACAAGTAGCAATTGCTCAAATCAAAGCTCTCAAGTCTCTCTTGCGTAAAAACTAAGGTAAAAAGCCTAGGAAAATAAAAGAGGAATATATAGTAAGCCACAGGCGGCAGAAGAGAAAAATAGGGAAAACTAGGGCAAATCCCGAGATAGAATCTTTATTTCCTAGATCGTCGGGGAACAGCTTGTCAAACTGTTCCGATCACACGGGAACATCTTGCCAGACTGTTCATATCAAGAAAATCTTCAAAACAGATTCCTTTCTTCTCTTTTCTTTCCACACGATCGTTCTCCTCATCTCTGGAACTCTCCAACCTGTATTGACTTAAAACAACAAGAAAGACTCGATAAAACCATTAAAACCAATAGTAGAGAGTACTTATTCTATGTCAAAAACACAATATATCAAGGAACTAATTTGATAATTATAAAGATAACGTAAAAGAAATATTATCAAATGAAAGGGATAAAATGTCAAAATTCAGAAAGAAAAAAATACCATAAATCCGTGGTTATCCGTACAAAATTCGAAAAAAGCAACACGAAATATCAGATTTAGAATATAAAAAAAAAAGAAGATTTTTTTAAGAATCAGCTCCATCCTCGGAAGAAGATCCTGCAAAAACCAAATCACCGGAAACCTCGGGGAGATCCAAATCCGAGATAGACCAATCCGCAAGGGCAGCCAGTTCGACGAGGCCTTCACAATCCTTCTCCATCTCCCTAAGATGAGCTAATTAATCATCGATAACCAATCCACCATTCTTGATCTCATTAAGCAGGTCGATGTTCGCGATCACCTCCCTCAACTAGATCTCTGTGTCGGTTTCCTTCTTCTTGTGCGCCCACTTCTTCTCCACAAGGGTCGAGACCTCCTTGTAACGATCAGCGATCTCGCGACGCATAACACGAGATTCGCAATGGATATCTCGCTCCCTCTCCGCAAGGAATTCTGCAACTAAGGTTTTTTGATTGGTGACCTCGGTCTCAAAAACCATCCTCTCTTCACGAGCTTTCCTCCATTCATCCTTCAAAAATGCAACTTCCCCAGTCTTCTTCTTGAGATTTTCCTTGACCTTCCGAAACGATTCCCTGAGACTCTTCGTTACAGTCTGCGACCTCGCTAACTCTCTCTCTCGCCGTGGCCCTCAAATAGTGCGACGAACTTGTCGACGGCGACCATAACCTTCAAAGTACCAAGAATATCAGAACGAGATTTGATTTACTAAGAACACGACAGAAAATAACATAACTAACCTTAGAATTGGCATTCGCGATTTTAGCATACGCCTCCCTTTCCTCACGAGAAGCCGAAGGAAGAACAGAAGGACTCGAAGCCGGCGTATCGCGACCTTGAAGCGAAGAAATATCTCGCGACGTCGGAGATGTAATTCGTGACAATCGTCAGCGCTTGTGTCGTTGGCAGCGGAGTCCTCCTCCGAACCGGGACTCAAAGAGATCGGGGATGCCCCCGCGCCGGAAGTCCCCTCGACGTCTGAAACCAGAATCGGTATCAAAGGCAAATCCTCGAGACCTCTGCTCTCCGCAATAGAGCTCCGGTTCCTAAACAACGACCTCCTGACTAACTGTCTATCCGATCTGGCGGAAGAAGGAGGACCACTAAAAAGTCCCACGATACCCTTGAGCTTGATCCAACTCATGGTAATAGCCGGCGCTTGGCTAATCCCATCCGGCAGCAAAAAAGCGGCGGAGACTCGTTCACGATAGAAAGAGGACCAGTCCGGGCGATCTCGTCGTAATGTCTCTAACAGACCTGGAAGCTCATTCGATATTGGAGAGCTCCCGAAATGCACTGAAAACCCATAAAGCAACTCCAGAAGTCAGATATCAAAGATAAAAATAGCATATATGATAAAAGAACAAAAGAAGTCAGAACTAACCTATATCGTCGGACCAAAGGCGAGGAATCCTCGCGAAGTCAAAGTCACCCATTGACAGCTGATCGACCTTGAAGACAAAGAATCGTTCTCGCCAATCTTGTTCTTGATATGGATCCCCTTGGATAACATGACGTCCTACGCGAGGAGACATGAGGAAAGTCCCCGGACTCTGATTATTCCTCTTCATCAAGCATAAGTGCCGCAGCTCCTCCAAACCAAATCGCAAACCCTCTTCGCGAGCTCTAACCACAAGTGTCACGAGAAGCCTCAAGAAGTTTGGACACATATGAGTGAAAGATATGCCCAAATCGGCCACGATTTCAAGGATTGGTCCTCGAATCAAGTAGAAAAGACCGCAAGATTCAAAGAATGAGAGATACGCTCCACAAAACCAATCGCAAATAGTTTCGGGGGGTTTCAACATGTAAGCTAGCTCGAGTTTGATTCTTCGATCAACGCCATATGTCGTGTACAAAGCTTCAAGATTAGCAGCAGTGGTCGTTGGAAGAGGAAAAGAAAACGAAGCATCCATCTTTGCTAGAGAGAAATCAAAAATCGTACAAGAGTTGAGAAGAGAAAGAAAGATTTAGGAGAGAAAGAAGAACTCCAAGTATTTAAAGGACATTTGCTGACTTCAAAATGGCCCTATCATTTAAAACGATAAGACATTGATTAGATTTCACCTCGAGTATGACGCAAAATAGTAGCTAAGAACAGGAAGCGCATCCCAGCGGTCCATAGACGCGAAGGTGCCACGTGTTGGGTCCCTGTCATCGCGAAAACTGAACCACCTCTCATCAGTTGAGTATGAATTGGCCATCTTTATCTTTTAATTAAAGAAAAATATTTGGGGACAAATGTTGGACCCAATTTCAACAAGTTATTAAAGTAGGTCCATTCCCATACTCAATAAAGTCTATTTTTGTCAATCGAATTCCAATTGTATCGTTGTGTTTAAGAGCATCGTTGCTCATATCATTTGTCTTCCCCTTCCCCTGATTAAACTCTCGATTACTACAAAATATTTAGTGTGGATTTTATGATTTACATACATTAACGGAAAAATAAATAAATCTAAGTAATAAATCTTTGAAATCACTGAATATTTTCTTTTTATTATCAAAATTCAAGTATTCACTTATATTTTATAAATTATAACTTTCATTGTGAGAGCTTAAAATAAAAATCATTCGTAAATAGTATTATAGTTTAAATGTACAAATAGTATGAAAATAAAAGGCCCAATTTTCCCCCTAGACAGGTTCAATGGAATGGGTTAGAAGTAGTGATGGTATTCGGTTCGTTCAGCATTAAACTAAATCAACGGCTGGGAATACTCACTTTGGTTGGCATCGCAAAGGGGAAAACATATGAGTGGGTCCCACCACGCGTAGAGCAAAAACTCAACCTAAGCACTCGAAGAAGAAGAAACAAAAACTCGAATTAATCAGAGAGCAGATAGTTAAAAGTCTTGGTCTTTCCTCGCTCGACAAGTCGTAACCTTCTCCGGAAACCCTAGAACCGATGAAGAGTCGTTAGATAGATACACGCATCGTCGATGAACACTTAAATTGCACGCTGCTAGGGTTCTATCTCTGAATTCACGTAAGTCTCTCTTTCTCTGTCTCTTAATATATTAATTAGCCCCTCTTCAATTTAGGGTTTCCAGAAACTTGAATAAGCTCCAATTAAGGAAGGGCATGAGACTAGAGATTCGAATTTAGTTCCAGGCTGCTTCTTCTTGCTCAGTTTACTCGTGATTAATGGTCAAGAAAGAAAACCCTTGTTAGCTGCATAGTAGTTGTTCCTGCATTGACTCAGACAGGATCTTATGCTTCACTTTTGTTCTTATAGAAAGATTAATTCTTTTTTTTTTTCTTAATTCAGTCCCTTACCTCTGGGACAATACTCAGCAATTAGGTGATCTAGTTTGGTCTAGAAGCTTTTGGCCTTGTCCTTTTTGAGAATTGAGATATGCTTCTAATTGAGTGTTTAAGAACTGAATATTTACTCCCATCAAATTCATGTACTTTGAGTATAAGCTTTGGCTTAGTTGAAGCGTATTTTTGCTACAAATCTCTCTCTGCAGACAATCTTCATTATTCTGAGAATGAGTGGTTCTGGGAGGAAACGTGTTTCGAAATGGGACTCCAAGCAAGAAGACACTCAGAATGGAGATGATTACGTTCAGAAGTCGGGTTCTTATTACCACGACAAAGATCCTGTGCATGCAGGCTTCTATCCGGAGGGTAATGGTAGAAACGGAAGCATGCGATCTGTTCCTGATGATGATGACGATGGTGAGCATCTGAAATCTAGACAACATCCAGGAGAAGCTTGGCCTCCCAGAAGCAGAGTTTCACATGAAGAAGGTGATGCCACCATGATGAGTTACTATGATACTAGAAAGTCTTCTGAACAAGATGAAAGTAGGCAACCGTATTGGGGCGACAGGCCTCGTACCCGTAGGTCAGTGTCGGTTAAACAATGTCTTGTTTAAATTGATTTTCCTCACATAGTATTTTGATTGATTTGTTCTGTATTGTCAATAAGGAGTGCAAGTAGAAGTAACAGCAGGAGCCGTAGCCGTAGTCGAAGTCCATTGCAGAGAGCAAGGCGAGATGCAGGAGGATCCTATGACAGACACAAGACGAGAGCAAGGGTTTCACCACGGTCAGGAAGAGATGTTGATGGTAGATACAACAGTAGAGATGGTGGCTATGATAGAGATACCAAATACTATACTGAAGATTCACGAGAACAGTATCCCTTGAGGGTTGGTGGGAGGTCTGATTATCCAGAGGATCATAGTAATTCAAGAAGAGAAACTTCAGATCCTAACTTGAGAAGCCACAGAGACAGAAGGGACGTTCCTGAGAGAGAATACAACAGGGTCTCCGATGTACCGTGCAGGTACTTTGCCTTAGGGAACTGTCGTAATGGCACAAGTTGCAGATTTTCTCACCATGGTGCTCCTCCTGCGAGGAGAAGTCATGAGAGAAAGCCGCAAGAGCAGATGTTTAGTAGACATGACAGTAATAATCATAGTGGCACAACAGAGAGGATGAGGAACAATCATAAATGGAACGAAAGGTCAGATACAGGGAAGTCCAGTGAGGGAGCTAAGGGTAATAATAACAATGGTAACTGGATTGATGATATGGAGATGTCTCCAGATTGGAACTATGGGGTTAAAACTGTAAAGAAGCCTCTGAACGAAGAGCATGGGGTAATTAGAGATACTTTAGCACCTGCTTATGAGCTTGGTTCTGCAGCTACATCTCAGCGCATGGGTACGTTTCCCACTGTGGGAGAAAAGGCTATAGCTTCTTCGCATCATGGTTTCAGTAATAACATCTCTAACACGGCTCCTCTAGTCCAAGCATTTAGTCAGAACATTGAGAATCATAGTGCAGTGCCTTACCAAAGCACACCACTAGCTGTTGGAGGAAGTCAAGTGCTGCTACCTCCTGCTGCTGCTGCTGCCACTCATCTTCCCGGTGCCTTGAACTCGAGCAATCATGAGACTGGAAGTGCTCAAAACACTGTGAGTAGGGAAGAGCTTAATCATATTAGTAACATCTCAGCATCTCTAGCACAGTTTTTTGGAAATGGGCAGCAGATTCCGCAGCTTCATCCTACTTTGAACCCCAAACAGGCATTGCCGGTGCCTGAAGTATATGTAAAAGAGGATCAGTCTTCACTTGCTCTTGCTCAAAGTGACCTCCTTAGTAATAACTCTATGCAAGCCGGAGTACTTCCAGCTGTTACTGCATTGCAGATAAAGAGCAACGACAGTTTAGTCTCATTAGCTGGAAATCCAAAGGCTTCTTCTGAGGAAAACAGGGACAAAAAGACAGATGAAGAAGGTAGCAAAGAACCAGATGTGAGAAAGACTGAACAAGAAGAAGAAAAAGAGACCGCGGAGGATACTGAGAACGTAGTAGAGGAAGAAGAAGAAGATGATGAAAATAAGAAGAAAGAAAAAGATCCCAAGGGAATGAAAGCATTTAAGTTCGCTCTTGTGGAGATTGTTAAGGAGCTTCTAAAACCTGCTTGGAAAGAAGGTGGGATGAACAAGGATGCTTACAAAAACATAGTCAAGAAGGCAGTTGACAAAGTTACAGGCGCAATTCAAACGGGAAACATTCCTCAGACGCAAGAGAAGATCGACCATTATCTATCCGCTTCAAAACCGAAGCTTACCAAGCTTGTTCAGGTTTGTTTGCTTAGCTCAAGACTAAATTTGCAGTCACTGAGGTGTTATTAACAAGTGTCTTTGTGTTCAACTTTCAGGCATACATTAGCAAAGTGAAGAAGAGCTAATCTGTATGGTATTCCATTGTTTCTTAATACAAAACCGCCATAACAGATGGAGCTGCCGAGAAATGTTATAAAACTTCTGCTTCTCTTCAGGGTTTAGATAAGGATCACGCAAGCTTGTGTTTGCTTCTTGTTGTGTGTAAACATACCAGAGAGATTTTGTTAGAGAATTTAAGATTTTTATTTATTTATTTAATAATTGACTGGAAATTAGCAGACCAAGCCAAAAGCTGCGTTTTATCGTACTGTATTGTCCGAAGCTGGATCAAGTTTGTTTCATGATTTTATCTAAATATCTGTCTTGACATGTTTGTAACGTTTTTCATTCTTTAACAGAGCACATGATTTATACTCTGCACTTGCTCTGAGCTTATGCAATCTATCCTTCCAACCAATATTCCCTTATTATTTGAGTAGCATTATTTGAAACTAACCTTCCTCTTATATGTTATTAACAAGAAGGTCATTTCCTACTTGACAGCACTACAGTCACTCTCAGAGCATGTTTAATGGATGTTGTTTAGAGAATTGTGTTCACACTCTCTCTCTTCAAATTAAGCATTTCTCTCCTCCTAAGCAACTCTCTAAGCAACATGCATTAAACATGCTCTGAGTTGGTTCATACCCATTAATTAAAAGCTTTCTACTCACTCGAATATTTACATAGATTGCCATTATTCACTAGACTAACCTTCCTCTCATATATGATGTTTTTTTTTTTAATCTTTACGCAATCATTATATCCGATTACTCACTTAACCCATTCGCGAGATACATGTTTGGTTCAGTCTTGATTCTCTGACTATTATGGTTCATATAATCATGTTTGGTTATGAAACTATACTTCGATAGCAACCTCACACACACACATATATATATATATATATATATATATATATATATATATATGTATATTTTATTTTTTTGATAAGAACACATTCGTCGATGAAGCCGAAGCTCTCATTTGGTCTGGCCGTGGTTAGCTGTACTTGGATGAACCATTGGGTCTATTGAGTTGGTCATTTTATTCGTGCAGCTATTGTATATTTACGTAGGTTTTCTACGTCGATATCAACTTCAACTGTATATTTACGTATTACGTATTAGGCTGTAGAACTATAATGTTAATTATAGTCAAATATGTATTAAGTTATGTAGAAATTTATTTCATATCGAATGTGAGGTTTTGGGTTTTATTATATACCTAATACGTAATATACTATACGTCAATGACATCTCAAAGTCTTGATGTTGATTCTATTAACATAATCAAAGGTAAAAAAGAATTTTGAGCTAACTTTTTGCTGATGATTGCAGACGTCAAATTAAATCCTTATATAATTGGTTGTATATAAATGAAAGTTTGATTTTTTTAACACTGGTTAATTATGCATTACAAATTATGAGAAATATTACATAAATGATATTATAGCCGACAATTCTACATGCCTTATGATGATTCATGTTTGACTGCATCCCTATGATATCCATTCCTGACGATACTCCTTACGCCATGCTGAAGATCTCTTGTAAACTTTTTCTCAAATAATTTGTGTATAATTCGCCATTTACCTTCTCTGAGAGTTGAAACCTTCTTGATGTAGAAACTGTATAGCCTGGGATTCGAACCCCATACATGGTGTAAAAGCCTTTAAACCTTAACCACTAGGCTACGGTGCTTCCACAAATGTTTGATTATGTATCTAAGAATGTTTGATTATGCATTTATAATTAATGTTTGTTTCCAAAATTTAAAATTACAGCACCCGGTAAATAAATATAGATATAATTACAATTAAAAATAGAAAGTGAATTTGGGGAATAGTCAGTTGATGGGCATGCATAGTGTAAGTAGGGTGGAGTCGGCTTTGTACTCTGAGCTGGAAGCAATGCGGTGGGCAATGAAGAATATGTTTCAACATTCGTCATGTCAGCGCTTTGGGACGGACTGCAAGGAATTGATCGCGATGATCTCACGCCTCCATGAATGGCCAAGCTTTTCGACGGAACTGGAGAAGCTCTTGACGCTACAGATCTGTTTCCCAGACTTTGAGTTATTTTATGTGCCTCGGTCCCAAAATGTTGTGTTCGATTCCTTAGCTAAGACTGCGTGAGCATTCTATCGCAATTTATTGTTTGTTGGTTGTTCTATTCCGGTCTGGAATCCCAGACCACCTCAAGCTTGAGTAATAGATCAGCCGTTTGTTGACAAAAAAAAAATAGAAAGTGAATTGACATGACAATATCGAGCGCTTACCTTGATACGGCAATTACGTTTGTATAAAAAGGAAATTTTGATTATGTTTCCAAAATTTTTAAAATTGGCACACGGTTAATGAAAGTTAATTGCCGTCGAATTGTTACATGTTTTTCTTTACTTAATTTGAGATGATTTGATTTAATATATCTTGGTGTTAAGACAAGTTGTAAATGTCATTTGGAGCGCAAGTTATGTAATTGTAATTAGTGAATAGTTTTTATAATGAGTTATTTTTGGGTTCACCATCCAACAGGATCTCACTATTTCATATTTGATATCTTTCAAAAAAGGAAACAAAATCTTGTTAAGTTATATTATATTTTTAAAAATAAAAATACAAAAATAAATAAAAATAATAATAATTAATAAAAACGAAAATGATGTTCTTTAAAGAAAATATTTTAACACAAAACCCTAAACTCTAATCCTAAACCCCTGGGTCACTACAAGAAAAATGAGTTTTAATAGCACGTCAGGATAGCGTTTTTTCGCTTTCTTCTATGGTTGATATATCCGTTAGTTTTAGATAGCATTTGTATTTTTGGAAACGCTATGATATAACGGCATAACTGAAAACGCTATGATAGTATACATTTAATAGCACATAAAATAATAAACGCTATAATAGTGTACTTTTTGAATCTCTAAACCCCAAATAAACTTCTGAACCCTATATTATTAAAAAAGAAAAATTCAAACACTAATAGAGTAATAATCTTTATAATATTTTAGAACTTAAACACCAAATCTTAAATATAAAATTATAAACTTAAATATTTTAAAATTAAACACCAAATCTATATACATTAAATCCAAACCCTATATAATGCATAATCTCTAAATCTAAAATCATAAACTTAATATTTGATAATATTAAAATTTCAATACTAACATTCAAACATTTATTCTAAACTCCAAACTTTAAATCAAAACTTTTAAAATTTAATACATCAAATCTTAAAATTTAAATCATATAAATATTAATTTTGTTTACATATGTACTAGTTAACACTTATTATATATCTTAAATTTATCTAGAAATTTAAAGTTCTGTATAAATATAAATGATAATTTAATTTTATATAGATAAATCTTATTAGCTAGTTATTTTCGTCTGTTAGAATAGATTCAATCTAATGGACAAGATCTTTCCCTTCTCATTTTATCACTCTTATTTTTTATTGGTTGATAAATGTTGGTGAGGATAACCAACTTTTAATCTCTACCATTGATAACATCTTATCCAATGGTGAGGATATCAAGAATTTTTCTCTCAATCTCTCCTTTCTCTACACGCATCTCTCTATCTCTCCCATCTCTCACAATCTCAATCTCTCTCAATCGCCATGTCTCACAAACTCTATGTCTCTCCATCTCTCTCATAGTCTCATTCACCATCTCTCTCAGTCACCATCTGAAACCTCTATGTCTACAAAGGTTGGTTGAAACGTTTTTATTAGTGGATAAAGGAGTTGAATAAGAGCTGTGCCGGAGTCGGAGCAGGACTAGATATGCCATTTCCAACCATCAGCGCCAGAATCTATGCCCAGCGACGACCGCTCCGTCCATCCCACTCTGCCCTGTTCACTCTTACCACCACCACCGGTCACCTCTCTCTTTCTCTCTCTTTTAAATCTAAATTTTTGTTCTTGTTAAAGTGGTGATTATTAGCAGATGTGGTGGTCATTGGATTTGAGGTGAGGAGGCGAAAGAGACTCTGGTGGTCTAGGTCTTGCGGTGAGGATGCGATGGCGAAGGTGGTGGTGGTGGACTGCAAGATGAAGAAGACGATGAAGATGGTGGTGGAGAGGCGGCTGCATATGTTTAGTTAGTTATCAATTAGGTTTAAACTTGGTTTAGGTTTAAGTTTTTGGTTTATTTGGTTTAGTCCTTTTCATTTAATTAGATTTTTATATTTGTGTAAACCAGTTTAATTATAAATCATTTTATTTAATAAAATTAAATATATAAACGAATTTCAATTTTAATTATGTTTTTAGTTTTTTTATTTTATTTTTTAGAATAGAAATAATAACGAAAATTATATGCTATTAAAAATATTTAATTTCAGATAGAAAAGCGCTATCGTAGCGGAAGAAAAGATAGAAGCGCTAAAAACCACTATCTAATATCCTTTAGCTATTATGACGGGCGATGATACATCGTTTCAAAAACCGCTATCGTATCGTTAGATAGCGTTATTCGTCCGCTATTAAAACGCATTTTTCTTGTAGTGGGTACATCATAAACCTTTGGATAATTTTTATAAGAAAAAGTTCTTTAAAAAAATATTTTAATACTAAACCCTAAAATCTAATCCTAAACCCTAAACCCTTGGGTAAATCATAAATGCTAAATCCTAAACTCTAATCATAAATCCTAAACCCTTGAATAAATCATAAACATTAAATTTTTAAAACACTATACGATTTATCTAAAGGTTTATGATTTACCCATGGATTTAGGGTTTATGATTATAGATTAGGGTTTAGTGTTAAAATATTTTTTTTTTAAATATTTATTTTTGATTTTATTAATTTTTATTTATTTGTTTATTTTGTATTTTTATTTTAAAACATAATATAACTTAATAAGATTTTGTTTCGTTTTTAAAAAAAAAATCAAATATGAAATAATGCAATCATATTGGATGGTGAACCCAAGAAAATAGTTATTCTTGGGTTCGCCCTCTAGGGTGAACATCTAGGTTCACCATCCAACATGATTTCACTATTTCATATTTGATATCTTTCAAAAAAGGAAACAAAATCTTGTTAAGTTATATTATGTTTTTAAAAATAAAAATATATAAAAATAATAATAATAATTAATAAAAACGAAAATGATGTTTTTTAAAGAAAATATTTTAACACTAAACCCTAAAATCTAATCCTAAACCCCTGGGTAAATCATAAACCTTTGGATAATTTTTATAAAAAAAAAAGTTCTTTAAAAAATTATTTTAATACTAAACCCTAAAATCTAATCATAAACCCTAAACCCTTGGGTAAATCATAAACACTAAATCCTAAACTCTAATCATAAATCCTAAACCCTTGGATAAATCATAAACATTAAATTTTT